ATGTACTTATATTAACATTAAAATACACTATGTATGATGTTACATATATATAATATGTATGTATATATTATATATTTTATATATATATATATTTATATTAAATTTATTTTAAACATGTTAATATATATTATTTTTAATACTTCCCACCAGCAGGGGGACTGTCTGATATTTCAGACAGTCCACTGCTGGCATATCCACAGCCAGCTATAGGGTGCCATATGATCGCTCTTTGAGAGCGATCACATGGCTCCCAGGGGCCTGATTTGCCGGGGGAGGGCTGCTTGGGCTGTCAGGCAGTCCTCCCGAAGAGGATCGCGGTGGATGTGAGTAGCTGGAGGCTCCTGGGGCTGCAAGCCATTACGGCGTTCTGTGCCTCCACAACGGCTTTAAAGTCCATTTAAATGGGGGCGGGATAGAGCGCCGTAACGGCGTTAAGGGGTTAAAGAGGGAGTAACTTTATAAAAAATGGCATAACTCGAAATCATTATTTAAACCATATGGAATGAGAGTATTTATTTCAAAGATCCATCTCATTTCCGTCTGTCCCAGTTTTTAATAGAATCTTCACCTCTCCAATTATTTGAATACCCCAAAATTGCAAATTAGAAGAATAACTGTTGTGATATTCTTTGAAGTGAAGGGAGACTTGGTGTTGTGCATAACCCCTACGAATATATAGACACGTTCCCCTATCCTTATACATAATTTACGTGTAGTACGCCCAACGTTTTTTTAACCCACATGGGCAAGTGTGCATATAAATAATATTCCTAGTATGGCAAGTTATGCATTCCTTTATCTTATACGTTTTAGCTTTTGCCTCAAATTGATTTACAAATCTCTTTTGGGAACCTGTAGACAGACAAGCTCTATACATGCCGCAGCCATAGAAACCTTCTTTGAGACCTGCGAACCTTTACATGGGTCCCAAACCTTTATTATTGCCTTTTTCGGATTTAAATGTTAATGCCCTCTTAATATTAGGAACACCCCTATGTACAATCTAGGGATGAGCTGGTAGAATGCTATTTAACATAGGGTCTTTTAATAGTAGGTGCCAGTTTATTTTAATAATATTCCTTATTCTTTTGTTTTGACTACCTGAATACTGACAAATAAAAGGAACCCCTTCTCTATTCTCAATTTCTTTTGATTTATCCTTATACTTTAATAAGGACTGTCTATTTATCTGTCCTACTTCCTCCATTGACTTCAATAAAAGATTCTCTTCATAGCCTCTTATTTTGAAATCTTTAATGATTTTATGCCCCTGGTCTAAAAAAGAGTCCATGTCTGTGCAATTCCTGCGAATACAGACTAGCTGACTTTTAGGTACATTCATTAACCAAGGGCTATAGTGGCAACTTGATGTCTCTATATAACTATTAACGTCAACGGATTTAAAAAAAGTTTTTGTCTTAATACTACCATTCTCTATAAAAATGGACAAATCTAAAAAATCTACCTGGGATTTACTATAATTAAAAATAAGAGAAACCCCCAAATCATTGAAATTGGCATACTCCATAAAATCCTCCAAAAGGTCACATCCTCCTTTCCATATAAAAATAAGGTTGTCTATGTACCGCTTATAGACTACCAGGTTTTTCCAACAGCTACCTTAAAAATCCATAAAATGGAGTTCCCATAGTGCCATAAAAAGGTTGGCGTCGCTGGGGGCAAACCTGGTGCCCATAGCGTTCCCACAGAGCTGCAAGTAAAAGCTATCATGGTACCAGAAATAGTAATTATGTAAGATTAAATCAATTGCCTCCAACACAAACTTAATCTGTTCTTCCGGATATTCAGAGCACCTTTCCAAAAAATATTTTACTGCTTTGATACCTAGATCAAGTTTGATTATAGGGAAGAGACGTCCGCCGTAACTAACATAAAATCTTCCCATTTAACCTTATTGTAACGGCACCCCGGCATAAAAGGGGTTAAAAGCCGTTTAGGAGATATTCCCTTCCAGATATACAGGCAGCTACTGTAGACATCAATCCACCGAACCGGAGAAGCATATGAATTCCGTAAACAGCAGAACCGGAACCATATGAATGTCGTAAACAGCCAAATAGGAAAAATCATACGAATAGGTTTGCACTCCTAGCAGTCGAACTGGAACAGCATACAATAAATCCCCCCCAACAACGAGACAAGGCTCCATGTTGTGGGTCAAGCAGTGGTCTAGTTTATTGAGGGCTGCCTTCCCAGTATTTATGCAGGCCTGTGACAAAGGACAGACATGAACCAATGACAGACACACAGAGGTAAAACATCCCCACAATGCATCCTAATTTCCCTCCCTCTGTCCTGGAGATAATTGGGAAGTAATCCAATAATCTCACAGGACAGAGGCAAAACTCCATTAACCACATGGTAGTAACAGACAGTAAAAGACATAAAAATGTATAAAGTTACAACTGTTGCACAAAACATCTACCTATCCCCAGATAGCTTAGATCTGAGCGCACATTATTACCGGATGGCGGTCAGATCACATACATACAGTTCAATCGCCATGGAGCCAAAGTCTTTCCCATAGTCTTTCGTTAAACGAATAGGCTCCATGGCATGGCTATCGGGGGTAATGCTGTTCATACGGTTAAACTACCGAATGAACAGGCATCCGGTTAAATGATCGAATGCAGATGCAAGGAGGCTGACGGCTCAGCGGTGTTCGTACTAGGAGAGCTTCTGTCTGTTTAGCTCCTGCCTTTAACCCCCCTGATACAATGGCTTTGGCTTTACCTGAACCTATGCAATTAGGGGTTACTAGGTTATCCGAAGCAGAGTGACAATACAGAAGGAGGGAGGGTTTATGCATGTACTGCGGACAAAGAGGACACCTCCGACTGCGTTGCCCAAGCAGGCCAGAAAACTCCTGCACGTAAGTTCCAGTGGAGGACAGGCCTTGGGTGTTTTCTCTTTTTCCTCCTTCAAAAAACAGATCTAAGGCTTCTAATCCCATCACCTTAGTCTGGAAAAAGAACAGAGTACAGACTATGACATTGATAGATTGACAGATGCCAGGGGCAGCAGAATGTTTTATTGATCTAGACTTCACTGCTTCATAATCAATCCTTTCCCGGTTAATGAATACACCCTTGACCGTTGAGGTCATAGATGGTAGACCACTGTCAGTGCCTGTGATTTCTCTTGAGACTATTCCCTTGCATGTGATTACCGGGGTTTTACATCGTGAGCAGGGCCGGTGCAAGGATTTTTGCCGCCCTAGGCAAAAGTAAAGTTTGCCGCCCCTCCCCCATGTAACATCACAATGCCCCACCCATATGATCTGCCACGTTAACTAACGCCAGTGCGGCAGTGCCGTCGTGTTTACTTTAAAAGGCCTGCAGGGATAGGCTATAGACACCAGAACCACTACATTAAGCTGCAGTGGTTCTGGGGACTATGGTGTTTCTTTAATGTGAGGTAAATTAGAGATTATTGAAAAGTGGCAAATTACTTATCCAAATTTCCGAACCGAACCAAATAATTTTGCCCATGCACATCCCTATCAGATGGCTCTCAGCATAAAGCTGGCATAAAAAGGAACTGTGGTGGTAGTCTCCATCACCAGGGGCTTCAGACAGACAATTTATGTAGGTCCCTGGATTATTCTTATGTTTTAGTCATCCTGTGCCCATTATAGGTGCAGGGTGTGTACGTGTAATGTAATTGTTTAGTGTTAAATGTTGGTGTGCTCTCCTTTCTTGCTAATGGTTGCAATCAACCAGGTAGCTTTGGCTGTGGAGCCTCTAATTCTGGAGGCAGGAGAGATTTTATGTTAATTGTCTTTCCCACCCCTTTATAAATGTCATTGTGTTATAATAAGTTGCTGTATGTTGTCTGCTATTATTTGGTTATTTGCATTTCATTGAAGTTGTTACAGCGACCCAAGTATAATGAACATATAGGCTAGTCCCGAGTTAAAATAAAGTATTGTATGTTAGTTCCTTTTGGAACTGGGTGTCCTGTGTGGAGTTTTAGGGATCCCAGTGACAGACTTTGGACCTGTTGGCTGGCTGCAGGATCCCTCTAGCCCTGGGATGATTCAAGAGAGCTAGGCCTTTGTAAAGGCATTAGCAATCTCTGTAAGCAGATTTGCAGAGGAATAGACAGAGGGGACAATACCTGTCTGGAAGAAGAGCTGCAGCGGAATAGACATGGGGCTCAATATCAGCCTGGAAGAAGGGCTGCAGCTGAATAGCTCTCTTGATTCATCCCAGGGCTAGAGGTATCCTGCAGACTAGTCAAATCTAATACCTAATTTGTTTTATTCGAAATAAAACAAATTATGTATTCAACAAGAGCTATCCAGACATGTAAGAATGATGAGAAACTGGGTTATTCAACATGTTATAAGAAAGGAGTAGGGTTATGAAAAATTGGCAGCATGTCTAAATAAGTAGGAATGATGCTGTGAAGAAGGTAATAAGAGTGCTATTGAGTGCGGGAAACACCCATATGCCTCCATGTCCATGAAGGTCTTTAAGTAGGGTTGCTATGATTTGGTAGAGGCTAGGACCCCTTTAGGATGGTCAGTAGTATGTGTATTCAAGATTTACCCGTGGGGGGGATGTTCGAGTTGGCGTCAATATAATGCATCTTCCGACTGTGGTATACAGTGGTAATATGAGCTATAAACTATGTTCAAAGGAATACCTCACGGGGAGTTTAGCAAGTTATGCAAAACACATGAGAAACAGTTAAAGAAAATTAAAAAGGAAAAGGAAAAAACACTTAACCCCTGGAATAAAAGGGAATCATGACATGTCACACATGTCATGTGTCCTTAAGGGGTTAAACTGCATACATTTTAAAAGACAAAGTTGCAAGTAGTTGCTGACAGTTCAGGACCCAAGAGTTGTTGATGGATCTCCCCGGTGATCCACAGGAATGAACGGGCGGACCCTCGTGGGATCCCAGTGAGTGGATGTCGAAGGTGGCGGCTGAGTCGGCTCTATGGCTACTTGCGTGGGTAGCCCCAGGGTTCATAGAGTGTCAGGGATTTCGGCAGTATTAGTGATTTTCAGGTCGCAATTTTCCTTCGGTATGATTAGGCTTCTTGGCGTTCCCCAGCAGTATGGTATTTTATGGGCAATGAGTTCCTTTGTCAGTGGGCGCAGAGAGCGTCGCCACTCCAGGGTGGCCCTGGACAGGCCAGAGAAGAATGTTAAAGAGTGTTCCTCAAATTGAAAAGGTGACCTGTTACGGATGGCCGCCATGAAGGCCATTCGGTCCTGACTTTGCTGGAATCGGACAATGGTGTCTCTGCTAGTACCCTGGGAGCTTGTGGTTGGTTTAGGGATTCTGTACCACCCATCTAGAGGCATCGCCTTAGCTTGTCTGGAGGAGAATAGTGCGTTGAGTAATCTACAAAATAGATGTGGAAATTCAGTAGGCTCTAGAGTGTCAGGCAGGCCTCTGATTTTGATCTTTTTCCAATGCCTCTTATCTTCAGTCGCCGCCATATTTTCCTGGGCCAGCATTTGAGACCACTGGAGGGTTGATAGCTGTTTCTCCAAGGGTTGTATTTGGTTCTCATGGTCCGCAAAGTTGAACTCTGTATGGTGCAAGTGTGCTGATACCCCATTCATTTCTTCCCGGAACCGCCTGATATCGGTCGCTATGTTCCGGTTTAGCTCATCCAAGAGGGTCCGCAATATGTCCTCTGTGATTGGAGGCTTTGCCGCTGGCATGGGCCTTGGGGGCATGGGTCTGGTAGGTACTCTAACGTCATAGTTCTCCCCGTCTGCTGAAATCTTGTCGCTGGATGAGAGCCCATCTGACAATGGCGCCATTTCAGGCATTCCGGTGGATTGCAGCCTTCTCAGGAGCTCACCAATGTCGGCTGTTGCGGGGGGTCTCTCAGCTTTGTATTTCTTATTACGACGTCCCATACCTTCAGTGAGGTATATAGCAGCTTTGTGTGCAGGTAGGTAATTTCCCGTGATAAATGCTCAATATCGGCGTTTTAGCTCGGAGCTTGAGGGAGATGCGTCCTTTCAGTATGGCCGCTGGCTCCACCCCAATTTAAAAGCTTTTTAAGGAAGCGCCCATGAAGTGAGCAGCTGCTTGGCACCAGCGAATGTAGAGGAGCTGTTCGCCAGCACCAAATGAGGAAGCACTTCATTATTTCATTCCCCACAGGTCTACAGCTGCGTGGAGCAGTCGGGCCATGCAGCAAGAGAGGAAGTGCTTGGCATGGAGCAGGTAAGTATCACTACATATTGGCGTCTGCAGGAATATTTCTCGGGGGGGGGCATAATTGTAATGACATTCATGCGTGACCCCTTTTTTTTAGTGTCATGAAGAGAAGGGGCATAGTCATTATCACATAAAGCCATGGAGGCAGGATATGTAAATAGTGTTTTAAAAAAATGTTTGTATTCCTGACACTATAGTGTTCCTTTAAGCAAATTAATGGAACATTCTGGTCACCATAACAATTTTATCTAAATGAAAATTCTATGATGCCAGGAGGCCCCTGGGTGCTCTTTCCTTGAAGGGGTTAAACCTCTTTTAAATAGTTTAACCCAAAGGCTTCTCCCAGCTCCAGATCTCTAGGTCACTCAGTGGTATTCGACTTCTGAAACAGTGTCATGAAGGTTGACGTTAGTCATGGGTGCAGGGCCGCCATCAGGGCATGACAACCGTGACAATTGTCACGGGCCCGGCGGCCCTGGGGGGCCCGGCCGCCCGGGCCCCACGTGGATCAGCGGAACTGCCGCCGGTGCATCTGCACCGGGGCCCACACGCTGATGGGGCCCATCAGGTGGCCCCAATCATTTAGGGCCACCCAATGGGCCCTATTATCTTCAGGGGCCCGTTTAGCGCTGTAATAGCGCGACCGGGCCCCTTTAAAAAAAAAAAATGCAGCCGGAAGCAAGTGCTGCTGGGAGGAAGTGACGTCCGGTCACTTCCTCCCACTTTACTCCGCGCGGGAAGGAGGACGCAGCATGAGGAGAGGCAGCCGATGCCCATCATCCCCAGCCACCCTCCTGCGACGAAATGGTAAGGAAGAGAGGAGGGTGGCTGGGGATGAAGTGTATGTGTGTGTGTATGCCAGTGTCTGAATGCCAGTGTATGTGTGTGTGTATGCTGGTGTATGAATGCCAGTGTATGTGTGTGTATGCCAGTGTCTGAATGCCAGTGTGTGTATGCCAGTGAATGCCAATGCCAGTGTGTGTATGCCAGTGTATGTGTGTGTGTATGCTGGTGTATGAATGCCAGTGTATGTGTGTGTATGCCAGTGTCTGAATGCCAGTGTGTGTATGCCAGTGTATGTGTGTATGAATGCCAGTGTGTGTATGCCAGTGTATGAATGCCAGTGTGTGTATGCCAGTGTATGTGTGTGTGTATGAATGCCAGTGTATGTGTGTGTATGCCAGTGTCTGAATGCCAGTGTATGTGTGTCTGAATGCCAGTGTATGAATGCCAGTGTATGTGTGTGTGTATGCTGGTGTATGAATGCCAGTGTATGTGTGTATGCCAGTGTCTGAATGCCAGTGTATGTGTGTCTGAATGCCAGTGCATGTGTGTATGTATGCCCATGTATGCCAGTGTATGTGTGTGTGTATGTATGCCAGTGCGTGTATGCCAGTGTGTGTCTGTATGCATGCCTGTGTGTGTCTGTATGTATGTATGTATGCCTGTCGGTATGTATGTATATATCAATATGCAGTATGTATATGTATGTTTGTCAGTATGTATGTCTGCTTGTATATATGTGTGTGTGTCTCAGCATCTCCCTATGCATGTGTGTATGTCTGTTTCAGTATTTGTATCTGTTAGTGTGTGTGTATTCCTGTGGGCGGGATTTGGAGGCAGGCTTGAAGGGGGGCCCAGACCTTGAGCTGTGTTAGGGGCCCCAAAATTTCTGATGGCGGCCCTGCATGGGTGCCGCTGATTGGCTAGAGTGGTCAGCGGACACTCTAAGCCAATCGCTAGTTCCAAATTCATAAAAATGTTTTACTTTTTTATGAATGGGGAGCTACTGATTGGCTTAGAGTGCCAGTTGACCGCTCTAGCCAATCAGCAGCACCCCTACCCAGTGGCACTCTATGCTTCCTGACACTCAGTAAATAAAAGTGAATACATTAACACGGATATTAGGCCCAGGTACCAAAGCCTTATGATGTGGTGTCCAGAATGTAGTGGAGGGATCACTTCACTTGTCCTTCTTGCTCCAATCTTCTTTTTTTCTCCTTCATTTGACAGTCTTCTTTTTCTTCTGACACAGTCTTCTCTCCTCCTATGCTCCTTATGCTTTTTTACCTTTCTTCTACTTTCTGATTCTTTTGCGCCCTTCTGCTCCTATGTTTATGATCCCTTTCTGCTACTTTCACGCCCTTCTGCTCTTTGCAGACCCTTTCTGCTCCTTGAAGACCCTTCTTGCTCTCTGACCCTGCCTGCTCACGTCTGTTCCTTTCTGCTCATTCTCCTACTTTACCTTTGTGTTCCTTCAGATTCTTTCTGCTCTTTTACCTTTGTGCTTCTTCTGCCCCTTTGTGCTCCTTCAGATTATGTCTGCTCCTTTACCTTTGTGCTTCTTCTGCCCCTTTCTGCTCATTGCAGACCCTTTCAGCTCCTTGCTGTTTCTCATTTCTGCTCCTTCTCCTAATTTACCTTTTGTGCTCATTCTGATTCTTTTTGCTCCTTTACCTTCGTGTTCCTTGCTGCTCCTTTCTGATCTGGCAGTGTCCCTGGGACAACAGCCTGCTGGTAAATAATAGGACAGGAAAAAAGTGAGGGGAGAGGCATAGACAAAGAAATACATTCAACATACCCTGCACCAATAATGGACACAGGGTGACCAAAACACAAAAGTCATCTGGGGACCCACACATAGTGTGTGTCTTCCATTCCCAGTAACGGTGACTACCGTCACACCCTCCCCTTCACTCAAACACCAATATTACACACAAATGTACATCCGTATTTAAAAGCCAACATTATATCCAAACACACCCCTGCAACCAAATTGAAACATTACATACAAATACACCCCTGTATTAAAGTACTAAAATTATATACAAACACGTCTTCATTCAAACACTACACACAAAGGCACAACAACATTTAAAAGCCAGCACTACTTACAAACACACCAAACATTCAAACGCAAACACTTCACAGAAGTACACCACTGCATTCCAAAGGCAACACCCGTACATGCGCACATATACTTCATACAAAAAGATGCTTGCATTCAAACACCCAAACAAACAATGCTCACAAAGCCTACAAGGATGGGCAAACTGTAGATCCCCAGCTGATATAGCATCATTGTTCTCCGACAGATGGGGATCTAACGTTTGGCCACTCTTGCTTTAGAGGGGGGCCCAAAAGAAAATTCTGCACCATTGCACCTCATCTGCACCTCATCCAGTATATTGTTTACACCCTCCATGACTGCAGATACTAAACCACTAAACCACTCAGAGGCAAAAAGTGCAGATACAGATAGCCTAATCCGCTATGGATCTGTTTCCCTATTTTATTCTCATAAGAGATTTAGATGCACTCTTCTCCCCGCAAGGTGGATCAAATACCTTACAGACTGCTTTTACGAAAGTCTGGTAATCATAGACCAAAGCCTTGTTTGCCTCCCATAACGGATTAGCCCATTCCAAAGCCTTGTCTGTTAGTTGGTGCATAAGAAATCCAACTTTGTTTTTTGTAGGGGACAGCTGGTATTACACAGCTTATCTCCACTTTAGATCCCAGGGAGACTCAGGAACAGCATTTATAAATCCATAGTGCAAAGTATCCAGCAGGCAAAGTAACACAGCAATATCCCAACAGCTCTCCCAATAACTGGACGACACACAGTATCAGGAGCAGAACTAAAGATTTATTCAGACAGTGGCCTTATAAAGCCTGCTCCCATGCAAGGGAGGGATTTCCATTCATTAGTATAGTAGTCAATCCTGTTCCGGTAACCTCCCACACATCACCTCCCCTCAGCCTGCATTAATCCCCTTATCCAGGACACCAATTCCCCCCGTTTCTGGATGTACCCCTAAACTTAGGGGTACCACTTTAAATTATACATCCCCTGGTAGCCCTGATCTGGGTGAACAACATATCCAAAAATCACCCAGATCAGACCAGGGGTTCGGGAAATTTATGGAGGGAATAAAATGACCGACCGCGCTGGAAGTAATAGCCGAATTGGGCTCCATGCGATGGGGCCCTGCGGTTGGTCCTGGAACAAGGGAACAAAACACACAAAAGCCTCCAGCTACAGAGACTAGGGGGTTCGCCTGAATCCCCTCGTTCGGTTGTTTCTATCTACCGAACGAGGGCCGTTCGGTAGTTTGGAACCGAACGGACCGGGCTTGTGGAGGTCCCAGTGGTGTTCGCCTAGTCGAGTGTCCGATTTGAGTTCCAGACACTCGACGGCAAAACACCGCTGTTCGGGAGTTTTAAAATGGCCGCCGCCACGTGTTCATTTCCCGAATGGCGGCCACCCCCGAGAACAAAGGACCACTGTACAGCTTGTCAATTACCCATTCACAACAATGTTGCAATGGGTAATTGAAGGCACGCTTCACACCGGGGAGGTCTGACTGTTCTGTAGATTCATTCCCTTATTTGTTGGAATGAATCTACCGAACAAACAGACGAATACAGTACATTATAACATATATGACCTGTCAAACAGACGAATGCAGTTAAAACCAATGCAATTTTCAGGACAGCCCAGTGCCATCTGCTACAGTTTTTGTTCAGTAGAAAATAACCTGGGAGACGTTTCCAAGTGAAACTTTATTTGGTTAATAAACCCTTGGCAGGTTTTAGGATC